CAGTCACATTTTATCAGACGATCCTTATTCAGTATCGGCGGGAACTGTTGATCTACAGTCCCCCACACAGAATAAGTATTGTCTGGTAATATTCAAAATACAATATTGTCAGGAACTCTGTTGCTTAAGCGTTTAATTCAACTTAATTTGGCGTAATTTATCGGTACTGCGGTACTAAATATTGGTACTGGTACTGGTAACTGGTGCTGATACTCGTCATCGATACTGACAATTGGTATCGGTAGATTTGACCGATGATGGCGACGATATCAATTGGAATCTGACAAATACCGCTAACCCCTCATACAAATATGTCATCGGCCGTTGATGAATATAATTATAATACGTTCTACGGTTGATGCTTTGCGCGGTAAATAAAACAGGAGATCATTTTAATCTTTGTGCCATTCACAAATGAGGAATCAAACGGACGCCGGTCAATTCTACAGTCTTCATTTGAGATTGAGGATTTTTACGACACAGTTTATTCCGTACCGCAGAATTTGGCGTATATTTTTTTATGGGTGCTTCGTTTATTTGAACGATCACCGGGGGAATATGTTTTGTTCGTTATCAATAAATTTGGTATTCTGGTGTCACAGGAATAATTTTTGATTTGAGGGGGACATTACGTTGTTTTGTTTTATTTTTATAAGCGTTTGATAAACGTTCAGATACGTGAAATTAGTACCACTACCACTTGTTGCAGCGAAATGAATACAAACTTGGTTCGTGAACTTGATTTTGACCATTTAAACTTGATCACGTTTGTAATTTAATCCTAACCATTTCCATGCTGTCACTTATATGTTGTCTTGAGAGAGCCACTAAACTGAAGACTCCTAGCTATTGTTGGTTCATAACCTGACAGTTCATATTTTATTACTCCTTGCAGATGATTCATATTATATAAGAAATATCATACCGACTATTCATATTTCATATGATATCACCTTCATAGAACATCATGACATTGGTTCTAAGGAAAATTCTAATCAAAATAATGAGACAGTTCATCGCAAAACCTTGATAAATGATAGTAATTTCGAGATGAATATTTCAAGATACAGTTAACGCTATCCCTCAGATATGGTTTGTCGTAATACCCCCGGTACTACCCCCGTAATACCCCCGGTACCAGCCACACGATATATCTGGATACGGTCCGGCTAGCCAAATTGAGGAGCCACGTGAATATGTAAATATAGCGACACCTTAATGTGAATAATAATGTTATTACTAAAGTTACTAATGTAGTAACTAAAGTATCTTGAGTGCAAACCGATACGCTGCAAACCTGTGAAGTTGTGACCAGTTTATCACAGCAATTATTTAACATGGAACCAGATGTTGTGATATCTGTTTCAAGATATATCAAAAAATGTATTTACTCTATACTTCTATATTTTCATGGAAATCCCACTTGTATTGTTCTCATCCTGGCTGATCAGGCCTCGAAGCTAAAACTATGTGCAGTGACATAATTCAGTCTAATAACCGCGCCGTATCGACTAGACACTGTACCGTCCTGACCGGTTCTATCATCGGATTGTGCCGCAGGGTGGCTTACTATAACTTTACAGGATTCAGGGTAAAATGGATTTAGGTCAGGATTTTGTGCAGCGTTGCTAGATAAACTTTTTTATGGTTTCAGATCGCTATAGAAATGAAGCTAGTCCTTCATATTATGGAGACAGGGTGTGGACTGGCAACACCTGGTATAAATATCATTCTAACTCGAAGAGTTTTGTCAGTTTTTTCAGTTTGAACCCTTTATTTAACTGTACTCTGCGCAATCGATTGACTTGGTTTAATGTGGTTTGAGAAAATCACTATTTAATTTTTGGCATTTTCTCAGAAAATGCCAAAAATTAAATACTTCCTGATATTGTGAGTTAGAATTTAGAAATGTCTACTTCCTCAGATATCAAAACTAAATTGACGCGTTTTTCGTTTATATCGCAAAGAGAAAGATTAGCACTCTAAACATCAAGGTGCTGCCAACTCAGAGATTCTAAAATCAAGTTTAATGGGGATATAAGCACCGTGATATAAATTGTAACTTGAAAGTTCTACGTTCAAGTTAGTCAGAATTGTAGGTGCTAAAGCATTAATGTAAATTTGACTGTAGTTATGAATTAATAGTCCATGGCGATAGTTGAAGATGGACCCTATCACTCTTTCAGTGCTTATGGATTCGGTTTCCTCAAAAACCACCATAAATCTTTCAAAGCTAGAAATTATTCTGTGTCTTTCTCGTCGAAAAACACCATTATAGATTCCTCTTTGCTGAAAGTTATAATTTTATGAGAAGAAATTATAGCCAGTAAGAAAAAGCTAATGACGAAATAAAATGTTTGTAATCGTGCCTGCTTGAACTATTAATACTTTATTGTCATTGAATAAATGCAGCATGCAAAATATTTTTTGAGAATGCACCCTTTCTTTTAGCCCAAGAGACATCAAAATTTGACGAAAGATCATTTTATTGTTTTATTGTTTAAAGTGTTATATTCAAAGGTATTCAGATCATTCTGAATGAAGTATGTGTCTGCTGTCTAAAATTAGTCTTTATCTTTTACAAAATTAAATAAGAACAAAGAATCATCTCGAGACCAGAAAGTAATCTTACAATGGAACAGTCATTTCATTATACTCGTAGTTGTACTTGTAATAAAGTAATAAAGAAACCATGGTTCTAGAGTTCTAGTAATGAAAATGAAATTGAAGCCTTTATGTTGAACTGTTGAAGACGGTCAATGGGGACCCATTCATATTTCATTTCAATCACATTCGCGCTATCTTTCTACCGACAAATTCAGGAGCCCACGTTTCCGAGATTAGTGAGAGATTGAGCTCTACTATCCGTCAAAATGAGAGCTATCTTTCAAATCTTTGAGATCCAATATATAATACCCAGTGGAGAGGTGGCTCCTAGTGATTAATTCCACTAATTCACCTACAGTACAACTTACCATCAGTCAAATTTCCCACAATTTTATTAAACTCAAGAGAAATGCAATCTAATCTGTGCTATTTCTAGTGTCATTGACAAATGGAACAAGGTGTAGTTATCATGGTGGGTGATGGTGGTGACGTGGGTGACTACTAACCCCCTCTACTACTCTACCAACCAACTAACCTTGTATTATGGCACACCACACTTCACTTTTCGGTCACATCGTAAGCTTAGGAGCTTACTTAGTCTTACTTACTTTTAGATTTCAATATACAGTATTAATAATAGTATGAAGGCTAAGTTTTTATCTGCTATTTAGAGAGATGTCAGCCGTCATAGAGAACAACCGGTTTATAACAGTTGTCCTATATTAATCATTTATCCGGAGGGCTGAAGCTGTCCACAACGTTAGAAAGATGCGGACAGCTTCATCCTGGACGGGGGTTCTTGAAATATATACATTATACATGATACGAAAGCTTTTATTAGCAGGAGCTTTCAAAATACATGTGTACATCGTCTTCATCCCACATATAAATACACTGCGTTTACGTGGGGAGGCCATGAACTCGAGCGGAACCAAGGCCACGATCACGACGGTCAGATAATCAAGTTATTACCATTAGGTATCGTTAGGAAACATGCTTGACAAAGGACATGACAGTGGGCATTATTCTCCATCGTGACCACCCCCCACTGACCGTAGCTAACAAATGGCAGGTTGTAGATATTATGCAGGTTCATTGACATTATTAACCTTTGTTATAGCTTTGTGGTATTTCTTGATATCGGATATTGGACAGTTGGACGTTAGTTCTATACAATTTTCGGATCTCATATCTTAGCTTACTAACTTATCGTTATAATGATATTATGGGTTGAAATCGACAGTATTCCAGTAGCACAAGCTCAGTATACTTCATGAATTCCTAATTTGTGAATAGATATTGGTTTTGATGAGTTTGTGAGCCACAATCCCTTCATGGAATTGGATAAACTATTGAAAAGTTTCCACCGCTTATCAAATTGACTTTGAGCTTTCTTATAATAGCGGAAACTACATGTAAATACCGTGTACTAAAATTTTAGTGCACAAATTCATATCTATAGCTCACTATTTATTACTCACTATTTATAGTTTGATAGATCTAAATCTGCTCATGAGTATTAATTGGTCGGTATTAAAGTTAAATGTTACTGATTAAAACTGAACATCAATTGCGACATTCTACTTATAATCTGAGATTTACATAAATCATTATTATAGTCTGTTTCAGTAACCAATCACTGAAGGAAATTTATTATCATCATATACAGACGTCTTAAATGGGTTTATTCGTGATTTAGTCTCGGTTTAAAATCAATCACTTATGGTATAAAGGATGCTAAGGATGCGTTAAATATTTGCTAGCCAAATACTTGACTAAATCCTCAAATCGCCACTCAATGAATACTGAAAATTTTGTGCAGCTACTTTTATTTTAATCGAATCCTTACTTTAAAGAGTTATTGAACTTAGATCAAAGACACGTTAGTTCGCTGCTCTGTCGCTTGCTTACTTACTTACTCGACAAACGGACGGGGAACGTGTTGTCCGTGGTACTGTAGTTGGGGTGAAACTATTTCAAATGTCATCTTAACTGAGACTTTTGTATCAGAAAAAGCGAGCGAACATTTCTGCGGACGACGAAGCCGACGTGACTGATTTTAGATCTCATGTCACCCAGATTGCATATAAAAAAGAAAAATTATTAGTTAGATAGTAGCTTTAGAAGTGTTAGAAATATTTGAAATAAGTGTTTTACTTTCACGGCTTGAGACATTGTCCCATTATTTTATGATTTTGCTGACGATCTGATACAAAGCTGTGTCAGGGTGGAAGTGTTACAAGTTGTAAACGAGATTTTAAAAAGCTTCTCGAGCGAAAATTCCTTGTAAATATCAAAAATTCTGAATATTTGTATGATATTCATTCATCATTGCATGAATTTTCGCAACCTCTATTACTTGAAATAAAATGTCTAACGCTGATGCCATCCTTAGTTAAGTTAATTAGAACGTGATGAACGGCTCAAACCCTGCAGACGCCCTACAAAAAGCCTGCGCTCCGGTGCGTATTTAACCAAAACAATTTAAATATTATAAACGTTAACCATTTTAATTAATCAAGAAGTCTCTGGGATGTCCCGATCCAAATTCTTAATTCTTATCAGTGTTTTATAACCACTTCAACAACTATTTATGACCCTCGAATGATTCGCAGATAAAATGGGATCGCACTCTGAGCATCGTGCTGGGGTGCGTGTGCCTGCTACTTTCGCTACTAGCGTCTGTTGGGAACCTAGCTTCACTCGTTTATGTGAAGCTTAACTGGAACGTTGGACCCAAAGTGAGTGTCGAAGTTTTAATAAACTTCATTTAACTATAAAACGCGTTTATATCTTATAATTAAACCTTAAATCATTCATTTTTCCTCTTTTTCTATTCTTGAAACCATCTTACTAGCGAACGTGCTGGACACCTTTCTGTAGGACAATTAAAGTCTGGGAAGGTTATTATAAACCAACTAGAAGCCTCTAACACTGAACATCCACCAGAGAAAAGCGAACTACACCCACCAGATGACTATGATAATGGTGATCAACATTGCTTTTACCGACCTGCTCAACGGACTGTTTAGTGCAAGTTTCAACGCTGCTAATCTGTTTAAGGAGGAGTATTCAATGCCGGAACCTCAGGTTAGGATTTATCAGTGAGCAATGAGCAACCACAGGTTAGCTATTGGACCTGTGTCTGATTTCATAAATAGGTGGAACGCAAAAATAGAAAGCTTGAATAATTTGTAATTGTATCTTATACTGAACCTTGATGTTTGCTATTATTATCAGGCTATAATATTGTATCAATGTGAACTCACTCTCTCAGGCGATGATGTATCAATGTAAACTCACTCTCTCAGTCTATAAAAGTATAAAGTATCAATGTAAACTCACTCTCTCAGGCGATGATGTATCTGTGTAACTTCAGTGGAGGCATTCACTACCTTACTACCAGAGCTAGTCTCCTACTCATGATGTGTCTCAGTGTGTTCAGATTCATTGCCATCAAGAAGCCAACCTACTTCAGCAACAGCAACTGTATTAAGGTACCTATAACAACTCTACCTATAGCAACTGTATTAAGGTACCTATAACAACTGTACCTATAGCAACTGTATTAAGGTACCTATAACAACTGTACCTATAGCAACTGTATTAAGGTACCTATAACAACTGTACCTATAGCAACTGTATTAAGGTACCTATAACAACTGTACCTATAGCAACTGTATTAAGGTACCTATAACAACTCTACCTATAGCAACTGTATTAAGGTACCTATAACAACTGTACCTATAGCAACTGTATTAAGGTACCTATAACAACTGTACCTATAACAACTGTATTGAGGTTCCTATAACAACTGTACCTATAACAACTGTATTAAGGTTCCTATAACAACTGTACCTATAGCAACTGTATTAAGGTACCTATAACAACTGTACCTATAGCAACTGTATTGAGGTACCTATAACAACTGTACCTATAGCAACTGTATTGAGGTTCCTATAACAACTGTACCTATAGCAACTGTATTAAGGTTCCTATAACAACTGTACCTATGGCAACTGTATTAAGGTACCTATAACAACTGTACCTATAACAACTGTATTAAGGTACCTATAACAACTGTACCTATAACAACTGTATTAAGGTTCCTATAACAACTGTACCTATAGCAACTGTATTAAGGTACCTATAACAACTGTACCTATAGCAACTGTATTAAGGTACCTATAACAACTGTATTAAGGTTCCTATAACAACTGTACCTATAACAACTGTATTAAGGTGCTTAGCCTTAAGTTTTAAAGCAAAGAATAATGGTGTACTAAACTTACGAAAAAAATCCAGTGAACTAATTTTACATTATTTTACATTTAAACTAAAAACTCTCAGGTATTATGGGGAGTGATAGGGATGGTGTGGGCTACAACACTAGCGATCACATTCCTACCTTACTACTTGAACACAAGATACATTTACTTTCCTGACGTCGCCCATTGCACGTGAGTAATATTATTAATTATATGATTACAACTATGTAAATAAAATGTTGTTTATTTAAAATTAAATGAATTTTTTGTTAAGCCTAATCATGCCCTACAAAGATAAAATTCCATATTGTGGCAAACCATTCTTTGCTAAAATAAAAATCAACAATTTTCAAACAAATTTCTCTAGTCAATCGTTAAGATTCATTTCTCTACAGGTTTCATTTTTGGCAGCTAAAAGATGGGTTAACAGACATTTGCCAGTTCCTGAAGTCAGGAGCTAAAACCTTGTCTAAAATGATATTCTTCCTGCTCTACATCTTACCAATCCACGGACCAGGTTAGTGACTTATCTACTCTTATCATAATGCTATCTTCACCTCACCATTAGACAATAGACATGGTTGTATGGTTAGTACCTCACTAGTGTACTGTCAGTTGCTTATCATATGGGCGGTATTCAAGCACATTAGTTCATTTAATTCTATGGAACTTGTGTTATACTCTTATTATGATGATTCTATGGGACTATACGGGTTATATAATATTTCTATGGAATTAGACTTAAATAGGCTGAATTATTCATGTTGATAAACTCACTAAACTGTTCTAGTAAAATGCATCAATAAAACCTTATAACCATTAATATAATAAAACTAATAGTACCACATAAAAGCATTTAAATCTTTATATCCACGAACAACGCCCGAGCAATGATAAGGGAATAAGAGAACATCTTGCGCAACATTGACACATTGTTCGATATTACTAACAAGTAACAGTCACAGCTTGATTTAAATTCCAATATAAAACGCCCCTAGATTACTTTACGAAACGAGAGTTATATTCTAACATTATTAAATACTAATATTATTAGATTCTAACATTATTAAATACTAATATTAATAGATTCTAACATTATTAATTTCTAACATTATCTCTTATAACTTCAGGGTTCGGAATGATATTCTTCACAATGCTGATATTAGTTCGACTAGCTAAACTACATTTGAAAGTGCAAAAAGGGAAAGGAGCGGTATGTTCTAACTGTTGATTTATTGATTAATTCGCTACGTGAATGATTAAAAGCTAAGCTATACGGACCGTATTAATGTTCATTTTGGTAAATTGAAAGCACAGATGTTTTGAGATTATTCTCGAAGTGTTGGAAGAACGCTGCGACTGAAATACTACCTTGCATGTTTCATATATTTGATTAATGACGTGCTATAAAAATCCTTTTTCGCTAACGTTGATTATCTTTCAAAGGAGGACCTGACCGCTTTTTCGTCTATCGATGTTTACGACACTTTTATTATTAATTAATTATATAATTATATTATATAATTGATTAATTATATCATTATTCATCCAAGAGAATAATTTGTATATCTGACGAAACTGGGGCTGGGTCCTCCTGTAGTCACATGTTCAGTGAGCACTAATTATATCAGATATTTATGTATAACTACATAATTTATGTACATAATTTATGTATAACGATTATCATCACTTCTATCAGACGAGTAAGCCCCGGCGTTGGACCACCGTCTTTGTAAGTTTCTGCTTGTGAGCATCAAACCATCACGACTTTATCTAATCCTCTGTGTATTTACACAACAATCATCTACCATTAGACACTAGCCCACATCCAGGGAGGCGGCAGATAATCTGCGAGGAAGTTTTGGATTTTGGAGGAAATTCGGTGCCAAAGAGGATCATTTTAGAAAGCATGACCTTATATAAGGGTATAAGAACATTTTTAGGGGGAAGCATTGGACTGAAATTCAAAACTTTCTGGATGTGGGCTAGACACTCAATATGAGTAGCTACATAAGGGGGTAGGGCACTTTTGTAGTACGCAAATCTGACATCTGGTATAGAATAGTCACTAGTCAGGCGTCAAAACAAAATTGCCAGGCCCCCCGAGACAGCTATATTTGGGACATTTCTTTAAAAAGTAAATTTACTGAACTTCTCTGTAAATTTATGAACTTCTCTGTATGGATTTATGAAATTGGAATGTGGTTTGAGGGTTTGTCTTTTAGAAATAATGCATTTAAAATTTATAGTTGTGATCTGGATTGTTTAAATGTTGGGCTTAAAAAAATTAAGACAATTTTCCACATTTAAGTATTTGAACTCATTTAACCCCAAAGCATGAAACCCTTCATAATTTAAATGCAGTAATGCGTTCATGTCAAAAAGAAATCTTCATCTCTTGCATCCAATGGAATGGTTAGAATTTATATAATGTATAATATCATAGCTGAATTTATATAATATATATAAATTCTCATGATATAATATCACCGCTGACTGCTGACTGCTGAGCTGGTCTAGAAAACGGTGCTATCAGATTAGATGTGCTAAACAGTTCTATCTCAGATGTAATCACGTGATGTGATGGAAAAATGCGCTGTCATGGTAACACGTGCTGTCAGTTTGATTTAATCGAGGGAGTCAAGTTGCTAAAATGATATTTAATGATCGCAGCATATTAACCTTGCATCATTTTGATATGAAAAAATTATTTAATTGTAGCATTACCATAATATCATCTTGAAATAACCGTTTTCGCAGAAAAGAAGTTCCGAGGAAAGTTTACACGCTAAGGCTGCTTACTCGACACTACAGATCCTGGCTTGTTTTGTGCTTACAAATGGCCCCTGGTGAGTTTAGAGTTTAAAACTGCTGTTCAAATGGCTACACTAGGATTCTTCATGGAAACTCATGAAATGACAGATTGCAAAATATCAACAGAAATCCTCCATCTGAAAATCATGTCATCATCATCGTCAGCTCCATTTAATAAAGTTTATAATGTTTATAGTGTTTATAATTTGTTTATTTTACACCCTTCTCTCACTCTCTCAGGTGGATTATTGCGCTGGTTCATTTCTTTGACATGTTTGGTTTAGTAAAGTCTGACTGTCAAGAAGGGCAGTATTGGCGCTGTACTCTAGGAAGTGAGTTAACCTACAGCACCATTAACGAAAACATCGTCACTTTCTAATAAACTCTTGCTAGTTAAGAGTATTGCGAACCTTAATGCTTTTATGACTTTGTAAATGTAAACCTTGATAAGTTAAACTCGTGTTAATTTTACTTTATCGGTGTTGTTTAAGAAAATTAAATTTCAGAGAAATACTTTTCACTAATGCTCTTCTTCTCGATGAATCTTCTGATCTATCTGAACGCAGCGATAAATCCGTTCATCTATTATTACAGGTAGGTTGTAAATCACACTGAATTATTGCAGTTAGGCTCTGCACGGTAAGAGTCTTACAGTGCAGAGCCCAACTGCAATAAGACTTGCTCCAAGAATACACAAAGTTATTAGTTAAAAATGTTATGATTGCGATGAGCCAGCATGCTGTTGAATATTCTCGATCCCCAGGCTCAAAGAAATAGAGACAGAAAATGTTTGTCAGATGAGTAACGCCTATTTTTCTCAGGCTGTTCAAAAGATCAGAGAAGATAAAGAAGCAGCAATACACGCGCGGCGCTTCAATGGCCAGCGGTTTAGCACGTGCTGGATCACGTGACCTCCTCTCAAAAGACTACACAGCTACCCGGGGCAGTGTGTCACCTCCTCATGAGAACGGGGAACATGTTAAAACACCGTTAATGAAGAGGGAAGAGAAGGTGAAGAGTAACGGGCATAATGGTATGACCTTGCAGGTGAAACCTGCTGTGCCGGTCGGTGGGGTGACGCATAGACATCTGGAGGTGTATACTAGCTGTTAGTCTCCTCACGTGTTAGACACGTGTTAATCTTATCACGTGTTAATCTGGTCACGTGTTAATCTTATCACGTGTTAATCTGGTCACGTGTTATCTGTATCAGTATTGAGGGTACTTGTTTAGACTTATAGAGCTTGGCGCTGACACGGCGTGATCTTACCATTATGACTGTTGTTATATTTGCTTATTCTCGTACTCAGAGATTATCTAAACCAGATGACCCGTCTTCAGTTCATTTATCCGTATAATGGGCTTTTTCTCTGTGTTTATCTAGATTTGAACTTACATTTTCATCATGTTTCCATATTATATATATTTGGGCTGTTTGTAACTTTGTGGTTTATCTTAGTGACTAGCTAATTTCAGAAATCAAAACATATCAAGATTTCGCGATATATAAATTTATATCAATCGCTCTTTTTGCCAATATTTATTATGTCTTGAGATAACAATCTAACTAGTTTATGATATTATGTACATATCACACAAAGACAGTCAGTTAAAGCATATGAAATATTGAGCGAAAATGTTTCAATTGTTAAAAAATTGTTTTAAAAAATATTGACCTTATCCCATTATTAATAGTAAGTCAATAACAAGTAATATAAGTAATATTATAAGTAACAATTGGCAAGTAAGCAATTCTATAAGTAATAATTAACAAGTCAGTAATATTATAAGTAATAATTAACAAGTCATAATAATTTGTACGCACCACTAGGTTCCCCTTCATGTGACGACTTGAACCATGTGTTGGGGGAACTCCATTTGTACTCTGACTGCTTATCCGACTCTGCATGGGTATTTAAAATTAATTGTAAGGAAATGCTGAGGCGACTGACTCATAAAAATGGCTTAGATAAAGTATCTTGATAAATACTTAAATAATGTGATAATCTATGAATATGTGATAATCTAGGAATATGTAATAATCTGGATTGTAATACCTTTAGTTGTGCAATTAAATTTAGGGTTTGTTAACCTACGACCCTTAAAGACCGTAAGTGCAGAGAGCAATCACTTGAATCTAATATTTCTCTCTGTCAGCAGCCAACATAATAAGTAAACATTAAACATACCCTGAAACCATTAGAGCATGTAGAGGAGGTATCTGATCTGTTGCTTCTTAGCCCACTACCAGGGGTGCGACTAGAGGCTGTGCCTGCAAGTCGCAAGAGTGGTTATAGTGAAATTGGGTGGAGTAAAGTGACATAATTATGATGAAATATACAGTTAAATATAGTGAAATGAAGTGAAGTATAATTAATAATCATAAACAATGAAATGTAAAATAGAAAACCGTAAAGAAAAATAAGAAACTTACGCGATCGAACGCGGCAACCCTGAACCTGTTTCTGTCTGATTTTTGTTACTTTAGTTAACACCCGAACGTGACCCTGATGGGTGTATTATAGTAATGCTTTTCATACATAGTTACAATAAAGTTTTCATTTTATGTATCCTGGGTTTGGACAGGATATTACCCGTTTAAAATATTTCCATCGCGTTACATAATACTCAATAAATGTATTTAATTGTAGTTGTGAAAATAGTTTAAAACATAATATGTAATATGTGTTGACAGCAGGGAAAAAAGGAAATCGCGGCATGTGCGGGATCGCGATTTTTCCCATTCTTTGCGACAAATTTTATATGTCGTCTGTTTGGCGCGGTATCACGATTTTTGGCCAAAATAATCGCGATTTTCTTTTGTCCCTGGTTGACAGCAGTAAATTTCGATCATACAATTTTTCTTCGTGAAACTTAAATATACTCGCTATTTCTTATTTCAAGCAGAGGATGCCGCCACAACACCCTGACCACTAAAATTAAACCAACCAATACTTGTTTTTGTATTTACCGATTTTACGATGTAGATAAAAGGCGTGTCGTGATTAGATTTAGCCATCACAGTTCCTTTCCTGATGAAAAGAAAACACGATTAAATTCATTGCTACGAAAATGATCACGACGTTACAATTGATGCAAACACTGGAAAACTGGGATATTTTCAGAATTCAAATTTAATAAGTATAATTTTAATAAAAAGAAAATATGAAAACTTCAAATCAGTATTTACTTGAAGAAGTGGAAGTTGCAGACACCTGTTGCTTCATTCAGCAAGTTAACTGGCCACTCATTCAAGATTGGTAATGTTCTGCAGTACCTGAAATACAAGATAATATAAGGTAAAACTTGGTTCCTAGTTTTATTTGGGAACTGATTCAATTTGGAAAATTATTTAATTTGGAAAATTATTTTATTTGGAAAATTATTTTATTTGGAAAATTATTTTATTTTACCATCCATCTTATGTCCTCAAATCTTTAAACTAACTTTCCATGACTGTGTAAAGATTTACCTGATATGCTCCTTTTCCTCGTCACTATCAAGCTGGTTCATTTGTACGAAGTCTTCCTTATCAACCGCTATCAGCTCCACGGCATCCTTACACGACACTGTTGCAGTTCGCCTTGTACCGTGCAATAACGCCAGTTCCTGGAAAGGTGTGACGTCACAGTAAGAGGTGTGACGTCACAGTAAGAGGTGTGACGTCACAGTAAGAGGTGTGACGTCACAGTAAGAGGTGTGACGTCACAGTAAGAGGTGTGACGTCACAGTAAGAGGTGTGACGTCACAGTAAGAGGTGTGACGTCACAGTAAGAGGTGTGACCTCATAGCAAGGTGCGAAATAGGGTATAAAAAACTCTATGGCTAGCAGACACCAGAATACATAAACAAGCAAAACTTTTGTTTGATTGCAATAAAATGTTTCCTGTATTAAACTATCAAAAATCAAATGCTACCCTTTATTAATGGATTTATTAATTCTCGAAGACAGAAAACAAATACCGACCGATGATATATTTGAAAATCCTTTTTGATTTTTTCCAGTCGACTCCATTCTACAGCCAGGTACAACTACGGAACGAAAACATTAAAATCATACGGAAACGAAAAACTGGAAAAGAATCAAAATACACAGCTTCTAAAAAGCGATTGACAAGCACTGAAAGCTGATACAGACTAATATGCAATAGCTTAAGAAACACTCAGTGTTCAGAAACAGCTGATAAATTGTATTTGTGGTCTTCCGGCGATACGCAGCATGTGAAGGAAGGTTGAGTAGTGTATTTGTACTTAGATCACTTTCAAATGCGATATCCATCAAAGTTTTATAGCGATTGGAGGTCGTAATGGTGTAACATTCAAAATGATATTTTAAAATACTGAATTAAGATGAACTAACTAACTAATGATACCAAACTAATAATACTAAATGTGGTCTTCCAGCGATACAGAGCATGCGAATTGCGAAGGAAGGTTGAGTAGCTTATTAAAAAGTTAAAACTGTACATCACTTTCAAATGTTGAGATGTCCTTTTAAAAATATACCGATTAAATGAGGATCTAAAGTTGAAAGTGGAAAATGACATAAGACGGAATAAAAGTATATGATATACTGAAACCAAATGTCTGAATCACGGAATATAGCAATATCCTGTGAACAGAAGACAAGCAGAATGTTAATACTATGCTTAGATCACGTTCAAATGTACGCCGAAGATTCTTCAGAAATTAGCAAAGACTTTCTGCATCTTTAACCGATTAATTTGATGGCACGAAGCTTATAAAAAAGAAAGGTGATCAAGCAGAGGGCGACGTCACAGTTTTAAGTGTTGGAAAACGAATTTTATAACACACTTTATGTGTTAGAAAATAGCGGCGTCCGGCAACTAAACGGCCACGCACGAAACCCACGATCAATAGTTCATTTGATCAAAAGACAGATCATCTGGCTGCTGTATATCCACCTTGGGACACTATATCATCCTTAGAAGATCAAAAGTAGAGATACCGCTTTGATTAATTGGTAGGTGGGAGATGCAGCGTACTTCTTACGGCCACTACTTGTAGCCACACTGTGCTGTAGACACAGATGCACGTGATCTAGTAATTACAATAGCTTGCCAGTTACATGTGTACTTGGAAATGAGAGATTGTGGTCAATCAGCAAATGATTCAGGAATCAGCAACACAGTGCCCCTTAGAAACATGTATTATCGAACGGTGAGATTTCTATGCTTTTTATAATTATATCCATCAAACTTTTATAGCGATTGTAGGTCGTATTGTTGCAAAATTCAAAAACATTTTAAAAATGCTGAATTAAATTAACTAATAATACTAAATTAATAATATCATATTAATAATACAAAATCTAATAATGATACTGAATTTAAATGAGCTGGTTCATATATTGAACGTACCCCGAAGGCAGTGCCTCGTTTCAAGTAGCCGACGTTCCGTAAGTTGACAGATCCAGTTGTTTTGTTTTCCTCTAGTATACTGACAGCAGCTGTGTGATTATTAAGCTATTAAACAACATTGATAAAAGCTTGCAGCAATTCACGTCTAGAACTGCCTTGAAATGATTACTTAACACGTTGATATCAATATCTAAATTATTATGAATAATTCAATGTATCAGGCACACCCACACCCCAGTGAGCCCATCAGAATCTTTGTCATGAGTGTTTCAGTGTTACTAACTTGTTCCACTTAGTACGTAGTAGAACCACTCAGCCCGGTCCCCTTGTCTCAGAATAATTCTGCTGGTGTCGAATTTTAGGTAGTGAGCTTTTCTGCACATCCTCTCCTGAAACAAACTTTTAAATTATCATATTTAATTATTAGTTGTTTTATTTGAAACCCAAAATTAAGTAGCATAAATTAAATAGCATTTACAGAGTCAAAATATCAAACGAAAGTTTATAACAGCTTTCTGCGGGATAGAGTGAGACGTAACAGTTTTTTAGGTGACCGAGTGATTGATCTTCTAGTGTATACAGTATAGATTGCTGCGCATGTCCAAGTAAAGTGTACACTTACAGATCCAAGAGCCAAGCGTACTGCTATTTTAAAATAAAAGTATACAAGGTAATAAATGCATGTCTTAATTAAATATTAATTAATTGTCAAGTAGTCTAATCAATTATTACAATTCATTATAACTTATAAGTATAATAATTAATTATACTTATAATATAAGTATAAATTAGTCTGATTGGGAAGTGCGACTTTAGTACATCCCAGATTTAATGGATATAAATAATCCACTCTCTAGTTAATACAGCCAGTGACGAAATTCTTAAATAACTTTAAGTAACACGTTATAAGTAACACATTTTCAGACAGCACGCTCGCATGGTCGATTAACAACGCCTGTTTGTTTGTTTTACAAATGCTGATGGAATCAAACGGAACATTGAAACATGCTAAAATCTTAATGGTTATAGGTTGCTTTCTTCATCGCTTAATTCAGTCAGTCAACCAATTTTCTGGTGTTGGACTATATAATTTTAGCAGTCAAGCAATTGGTATCTCGTGCGTTGTTAAGCGTTGTTAAGCGTTGTTAAGGATGAAAAATGTTTTACTGTCGCTAGTCTTACTAGTCATACTCTTAGTTTTAGCAGGTATTTATGAAATGTTCTAACTGATTTTCAATTGCTCTTCTTTTCTCCTTTAGCTTTCATTAAAACAAACACTGAACAGCTTAGTTCTCAGGTTGTTGATGCATTATTTCATGTTAGGCAATAGTAATGTGCTGTACTTCAATACACACTCGCCAGAATCGTCGTTAAAACATGATGATCCGCGAGATTTCAGCGGTATAAAATGTAAGAATTGAATATTCCAGAGTCTGGTAAAAAGAAGAAGAACAAGGAAAAAGAAGCTGGAGTGGAAATAATAGAATTAGAGGAAGAAGAGGAGGAAGGAAAAAAGAAAAAGAGCAAAGGCAAGAACAAAGATAAAGATAAGGATAAAGGTAAAGTTGTCAATGAATTATTTATAATATCTTCTTTCTTTCTTTCGTACAAAACCAGCCAATATGCAAAATATTGTGAACTTTGAGTTTGGTATCTGCATCGAGATTTGTCTGACCCGTTAATTGTTTAGTAATTTCAATTTACTACTTATTATTTTTATAAATTTATTCACCCTTTTCGCCATAGTTTGGTGAAAGCAAATAGCGAGTGACGTTGGCGCCTTAAATCAAGTATTTCAATCTCGGTAAAAAACGTCAATTCCAGGAAAAGACAAAAAGAAATGCAAAGGAAAAGGTAAGAAAAAAGTTTGCGAGGAAGACACTGAGGTAGGTAGCGTCGGTCTCTCCGGGAAGGAGGAGAAATCTTGCAAAAAAGATGAGGGAAGCCTAGTGGCCTGCATCGCCGAGGGCACCTACATCCTCAACTTAGAAGAGTACTCCTTCAAGGAGGAGCTAATCGAGGAGCTTCACAAGTCGAAGGAATATAAGAATATGATAGAAGAAGCGGTTGATGCCATGGCAGATGGAATCGTCTCAGACTACTTAGCTTCGGATGAGTTTCAGAACCACATCGAGGGTGTCATCGAAGAGTACAACCAGACTGCTGAAGCCCAGGAGACCATCAAGAAGTCAGTGGATGACGTTGTGGCAGAGGAGACAAAAAAGCTAGAAGCAAAGCTAGATGAAGAGGTACAAGTGATAAAAGAAACTGAGGTTGAGGCTCTTGATCTGCTAGAACAATTTGTATTGAAGCTTTATGATCTCTCTATCGAAAATCGGGGAATATATCATAGTAATATTGAAGCTGATTTTTTGCACATGGTCTCGGCCTTCCTCCCGGATACTACTGCTCCAGTCTGGGACAACACTGCCACTGAATTCCCCTGGAACCCAGATTGGAAAGAGTGGGACCTCCAGGACAGCTATGTGCTGCAAGTTGATCATGGGCCATCTGAAGATGACGGGTTCATTAACTACAGGGGGGTTGACAACCAGTTAAGAGATGCGGAGGGAGAAGTGCCTTTCGACAATCCTAACGATGAATATTACGCAAATTGGAATTATGGACGAGAAATCCCTATCGCACAGGAAGGGACAGGGAACGATCCCAACAATGCTAGGATACAAGATAGTCCTTTCAAAGGAAATTTCAATTTTAACTATGGTACCGATTATTATGTGCCTGGACCAGTAATGCCGATGGCGTATATGCCTATACCTGAAATGAGTGCAAATCCTGGGATACAAGATAGTCCTTTTAACTCAAATGTCAACAATTTTAACTATGGTAGCGATAATTATGCGCCTGGACCCATAAATCCAAGAATAAACGATGATTCCACTATCGGTTTCTATAGTTATTACTATGAGTTTGAGCCCATCCAAAAACAGGATGCACCAGTCTACAATTCCCCTGGCAATAACAATGGATATGACTCTGGGCATGAGCACATCCAAAAACAAGATGCACCAAGCTACAATTCCCCTGGCAATAACAATGGATATAATTCTGGGTATGAGCCTATCCAAAAACAAGATGCACCAATCTACAATTCCCCTGGCAATAACAATGGATATAATTCTGGGTATGAGCCTATCCAAAAACAAGATGCACCAATCTACAATTCCCCTGGCAATAACAATGGATATAATTCTGGGTATGAGCCTATCCAAAAACAAGATGCACCAATCTACAATTCCCCTGGCAATAACAATGGATATGACTCTGGGTATGAGCCCATCCAAAAACAAGATGCACCAAGCTACAATTCCCCTGGCAATAACAATGGATATAATTCTGGGTATGAGCCCATCCAAAAACAAGATGCACCAAGCTACAATTCCCCTGGCAATAACAATGGATATAATTCTGGGTATGAGCCCATCCAAAAACAAGATGCACCAAGCTACAATTCCCCTGGCAATAACAATGGATATAATTCTGGGTATGAACCCATCCAAAAACAAGATGCACCAAGCTACAATTCCCCTGGCAATAACAATGGATATAATTCTGGGTATGAGCCCATCCAAAAACAAGATGCACCAAGCTACAATTCCCCTGGCAATAACAATGGATATAATTCTGGGTATGAACCCATCCAAAAACAAGATGCACCAAGCTACAATTCCCCTGGTAATAACAATGGATATAATTCTGGGTATGAGCCCATCCAAAAACAAGATGCACCAAGCTACAATTCCCCTGGCAATAACAATGGATATAATTCCGGGTATGAGCCTATCCAAAAACAAGATGCACCAAGCTACAATTCCCCTGGCAATAACAATGGATATAATTCTGGGTATGAGCCCATCCAAAAACAAGATGCACCAAGCTACAATTCCCCTGGCAATAACAATGGATATAATTCTGGGTATGAGCCCATCCAAAAACAAGATGCACCAAGCTACAATTCCCCTGGTAATAACAATGGATATAATTCTGGGTATGAGCCCATCCAAAAACAAGATGCACCAAGCTACAATTCCCCTGGCAATAACAATGGATATAATTCCGGGTATGAGCCCATCCAAAAACAAGATGCACCAAGCTACAATTCCCCTGGCAATAACAATGGATATAATTCCGGGTATGAGCCCATCCAAAAACAAGATGCACCAAGCTACAATTCCCCTGGCAATAACAATGGTTTGGACAATAGATATTACAATAACCTTGAAGACGATAATGATCAAGCTCAAATTGAAAAAGTGACTGACGAGGAACAAGAACAAGATCCACCTTTGAATGTTAAGCAAGAAGATTCTGGTGGAAGCCGAAAACCACCTAATTCAGGAAAAAATGGGCTCAAGATTTTCGCAGGTGCCAGCGGTGAGAAGGGAGGTCTTATTGATGAAATGTTTAAGAAAGTCGATATTGGACCAAAAGAAAAAGTGAAAGAAAATGATTTCGCCAAAAAGGCAAATAATCAACAGCAACTTCTGAAAAGAGCACCGGAAAATCCGGCAAATCCAAAATCAGAAGATGTGATAGATGAGCCGGAACAGGAAAAGTCAAAGTCTACATTTTTCAACCTCATACAAGAAAAAGCAGAGGAGCAAGAAGCTACAACTGTTTGGAAAAGTACTCCGAGTACGGGGCAGCCTGTCGAGAAGGTCATACCAGTAAACTTAAAGAAGAAGGCAGGCAATAATGATGCGGTAATATTCGGGTAATACGTGGGGACACAATCCGATATCTGTATTTAGTTATTAATTAATTAATTAATTAATTAATTAATAATAGTCGATTCTTAAAAGCAGCGTGGTTTGGTTACAGAGGGAAGATTGACAATTGTATTTAAGCTTTATACACCTGTTATCATGAGGTGTATTTATAGTGTATTTATAGTGTATATATAGTGTATTTCTTATAATATTAACAAGTAGTTTCGAAGTGTAAATATTATGACTTTATCACAAACCATTTATGTATATATACATAAATGTATATATATATACTATGTGACATCAGTAAATGATATCAATTTATGGTCTCTTCATATTAAGGAGATACAGGTTTCAGCACTACATTATGATTGACACGGCCCGTCCCAATTAGACTAATTGATAATTAATTAGATTTAACTTTCTAACATTACACACCTGCATGTTTAAAGGGTACTCCGCAAACGTTTCGTAAGTTCTGAGAGCAAACAGTACTTGTTGAATCTCCTCCTCCGTTCGATCCTCCGGTCTTTTACCCAGGATCTCTTTGATATCTGATCCCACTATTAACTCCTGAATTATAATTAGAAATAATTAGGAATTAGATTTATAATTAGAAATAATCATCTAAGTTAAGTAGACTGTGTTGACTTTGAAACTCAATAAATAACTTAGAATGAATAAATTGCATTTGGAATTTGCTTTCAAAATAGTGAAATACATATTATTTTATTATATCATAATTTATTGGAAGCTTTGTTTGAATAAATTATTAGTCTTTATCAATGTTTTTTACTGGTCCTACCTTAGTATTAAGACAGGAAGAAATTAGGAAGAAGCTGGAAAAAGGGAAATTACCTTGATACGCTGAGCCTTGTATAAAGAGGGATCGAAAGCAGGTAAAAAAGTCATTTTGTCTGATTTGTCAAAAAATGCATGGTGTTCTTCGGCGGCTTTCTCTGTTTCCTTTCTTCTGCTTCTGAGGAAAACAAAAACTAAGTTGCACGATAAACCTCTCTAGTCCTTACTTTTTGGAAAACCATGTCCCTAATCATTAACCTTGCCCACCTTCCCTAAAGGTACGAACATTTTCGGGTTAAAACCAAAAACCGAACACAAATAAATCGTCAATATTTATTTAACGCCTGATGCGCTAAGATAAAAATTACAAACGTTTTTCCTTCTCCAGAGTAGAAGATAAGTGCAAGTTGTACTAGTCGCGCTACTTTTCTGAATCTGTTGATCGGTGCCACCTGCATTAGTGAGTGTGTTGAGTATGTGTTCGGTTAAAAAAAATAGTGTGAAATAGTGTCATACTCTACTGCAATCATTTGAACATCGGGGTTTACTCTTGTTTGGCAGACTACAAATCGCTTGGTGCGTTAAGGTAGAGCCACCTTAAAGATTTTCAAGCATTTATTCATGGTGGTAGCATCTTCGATACTTTGCCAATGTGCGAAGGGGCCTAGCTGCCCTCTGAACCCTCTTCTAGAAGCCCTGGGAGAGGCCAATGTATCAGCATCATCTCTCCTCTGATAGACATCTTCTATTTCACTCCTACAAGGACTGTTCTTAGAGATTGAGTTGAGAAATTGGCAGATCAGATTTGATGTCGCTGGTTCAGTTTCACAGGGAGTTCCTCTGTGTTCTTCCTTGCTGGAGTCTTGTGGTCGGAGGGGGACTTGACCCGGGGGTTTAGTATCTGAGGTTCTAGTCGGTCTGCTTTGTGAGGTGCCAGGAACGTTCTCAGCCAGGGACCAGGAGATAGACCTTATGATGGGGTGCCGACGTTGCATTCCCAGATTATATTACCGTCATCAAACAGAGGATTAACATAGCGGGCAAAATATGACAGTTGCAGCCACAGGGTAGTGCGTATATCAAAATATATCGTGATTGTTTAATTATAAGATTATAATTGAATGAATTCCAGATAACTTCTGATGGGATTGAGAAGAGAGGATCACAACCCATCTCAGCTTCCGGAGTCTCCAGCCGCTGCCCTTTTAATCCTATAACACTTTAGTAAAGGCTATTGACTGGTTACTGGCCATTTGCTGGTGAACACTCGCCGACAGTTGTATTAATTGGCCTCTTGTATCAGGCATGGCCACAACAATGATTTATAATATTCATTGCAGTCACGTCGACAAATTACAAGCATAATGGTATTAAATGCATACTTCATCATATCAAAATATATGTATTTATATTGCAGTACATTTCAGCGTGGATTGTATATATTATGATCAACGTCCCAAAAATTTGGTTACCAAGGGGCTCTCAAAATAGTAAAGGGGTAACTCACATAATATCGTAGCATAGCGAAACCTTAATGTGCTATCGAATCATTATTGCTGAACTTACGTAATGATTCTGGGACAAAATGTGTGATGTTTATTGCGACAAGGAAAGGCTCTTTAATTCAGGATAAGGAACTGTTAATGTTCAATTTTGCCCCATAACCATTTCAACAATGTGAACTTACGTAGTCCTCGTCGTCTAGCTCGGAGCCATGTTCCGTTTTGAATCGGTTTCTCAGCCCTCTCTTTCGGTAGGCACTCTCAGCCGACCTGGAGTTCTCCCTGAATAACCTGGAAATAGGGCAGAAATTACTAAATTAGGAGATTCTCCAAGAATGGAGGGGTTATACTTTTTGTGTACAACTATCTGGGCCTAGGGAGAATTAAATCAGCAAAAGATTGTTACATATTTTAATAAGATTTCAATGAAGTTTAATATCTAAAAAGATACGACCAGTACTGAGACCAAACTTATCTTTCATGAAAGATTTTAAAAATAATTCATTCGGGGTCTCTTTTTATTAGTTCAAAAACTAGCCGATCCTAATATTTCATGTTATTAACTACTACCAATTTATAGGACATTCAGAACTGTATTTAACTACTGAATACTATTCTGGAGGCCTGGCCGCACCATTTCTATCACTACCCAGTACCCACTATTCATTACCAATTAATCCTCTTCACTTTATCCTACTCAAAAGTTACTAAGTCAACCCTCCCTAGTCCCGATTGCAGAAATAGACTCTTACCCAAGTTCCTGATCCTCAGGACTAGCCCTCCCGCTATGGGGAACCCTCAGTCTCCCTGATCTGGCCCGTTTCCCGCCATTTCTCAAATGAGCAGTCTCTTCCTCGAACTGACTGACGTCCCACATGCTGGCTGACCTCCCACTTCCTAGTCTAATCTTAGGAGCCTTCTCTGAGTGCTGGGGGTGATGGTGAGCTGATAAGGATCCTCGTCTTGAGAATGTAGGCGTGGCGGATTGTCTCCGGGGAGTTGGAGACGAAGATTCGCGTCTAGGCATGGGTGAAGACACTCTGCTGCCAGGTGAAGGGGAAAGTCTGTGGGGAGAGCTAACTGACATTCTCCGAGACCGAGACGGAGCTATGACTACAACTGGAACAGGATCTGATCTTATCTCAGGCAAAATAATAAGAGGAGATTTTCTGCCGTCTCCTAAGGGTTGACTAACCGAAGTATCGATCCTAGTACTGCCTCTTCTGGACCGTGTGACCTCAGGTGCGAAAAGCTCGTGACTTCCTCTACGAGGGTCTGAGTTAGATCCGAATAGTGCGGGAAGCGTGCTAGATTTGGGGAATTGGAAGGATCTGGGAACGTTACTGATATGAGGGTGCTCTTTCTCGATTAGTTTTCGAAGTCTTGCGGAGTTATTTCGTAAAGAAGTGCCGTCTTCGGTGGTGCTTCCTCTGTGTTTTGTTATGAACTTTTCTCCCACCTCATCGATATAGTGCCGAATTCTAAACCCCATGTCTACGCTTTCCTTTCTCTTTATCTCTGTCAATTTCTTATCTTTTGAAATAGATCCTCGCTTCGGAACCTTTTTGAACTGCACCCTCTTTGCACTGAGTCTTCGTTTAACTTTGGCAGGAGTAGGATGGCCTCCAGACACCATGTTGATAAGATCGGTTTCAAGGAACACACTCACTTGTGTAGCCATGGTGTTAAATAAACTACGAAAAACAGCTCATACAAAACGCCAATATGTACTGTTTGGTGAAACAGCGACAGTGTTTTGTGGCAATGGCAATGAGCTGGCTACGAAAATAACCGTGAACTAATGAAACGTAACAATGATCTGAACTAACCGGTAAAACTTTCAACTATTCTGGTTCTAGGACAACTAAATAACGCACACTATACCCGATAAACTACATTATCAATAGCTGGTAGGTTATTAGTCGATTATTGGGTTCCTTGAAATCCTGTGATAGCTGATTGTATCATTCATGCTCATTTTGAATGGTGATTTTTTGAAGAAATGGTCATGCTCTAAATTGACATAAGCGCTTGATTGATTATTTTTCTGGATTTCTGATGCTTTTTATCAATTTCCAGAGAATTTCCACGATAGTGCGCAGGATCAAATTGCTAAGTCCTATGCAAGTTTTACAATTGTTGGGTTGTCATGACTACGAATGCTGAGGAGCTGTATAGAACAAGATTTAATGGTATCATGTGGGGTAACATTATCTGTTTGAAATTATTTCTAATTAAAAACATGGACACAGTGAGTATGAAGGAAATATTTTGAGATTGAATATGGCCGATCAAATTATTTCCTACTTGAGCGGATAAAGTGCGGATAAAGTTTCAAACAAATAGATCCGTGAAACTAAAGAGAGGTTGTCAACTCCTGTACTTAATTTCCATTAAATTAAACAGGAATGATTCAACACAACTTACGTCTTACATGGATGGTTTCAAAAGAGTACAAATCACTGTATATGATTAACAGATTTAATTAATCTTTATCTTAATTACTTTAAGAACTATGTACAGATACGTATATTATGCTTATATGTCCATCACACTGTCCTTACTTAAGTAACTAATAAGTTTTAAAAGAGTCATTAGATGAGACTCAAAAAGCAACCCTTCTTCAATGTAATTCAGGTCGGAACTATTATGCAGCATAATTTATGCTCCATAATTTAGGCTCCAGTTTTTAGATTGAAGGGAAATAAGAAAATTAGGATGACAGGTTTCATTCTGAATTAATGAAAAAACATGTAAATTAGAACATCACAAATTGTTAGAGCCACGATAGTCTACGCTCTAAATAAATATTACTAATCGAATTAAAACGGACAAATTTTGTCAAGACACCACGCAGAAAACAGTTGTAAATATTACTAATTGAATTAAAACGGATAAATATTTTCAAGACACCACGCAAAATAAAGTTATAAATACTACTAATCGAATAAACAAACAAATCTTTTCAAGACACCACGCAAAAAAAACAGTTCAGCGGATTAAAAACACAAAGACAAACAATCGTTCAAACTTGGAAATTCGCTGAGTAGTGACAATCTTGGTAGTGGTTCTAGTCCACAGTTGCCATGCCGTTCTGTTTCCTGTTTTCTTACTTTCTTCGTCTTTTGAGTCCGAAATAGAAGGGCGTTTTTTAACTTTCTTCTTTTTCTTTTTTGGAAGTTTAGGAACAAATGGTATATCATAGCCAAGACGAGGTATATCGTAGCCAAGAGTAGTAGAAATACTCGTTTGATGGGACCTTGACAAGAAACTGCTATTTTCTGTTTTGTTCCTTTGCTTTGAATGGTTGGATGACACGCTTTCCAATTTGCTCCTTTCTGAAGACGGACAGCGTTCCTTGGTCCCACTCCTAGCGCTGATTATTCTGCCGCCCTTAGTGCCAGTCTTTGCACTGATATTGGTATCAGTTTTCATACTGGCATTTCTACTAGCATTTTTACTGGCAGTAATACTGGCATTTTTACTGGTTCTACCTCTGGTGGTAGAACTGGAATTCGGCTCCCTGCTCCCCGTACCTAGGTCCGCTGGGGTAGTCGATGCTGGTCTAGTAGCTGGGGTAGTCGATGCTGTTCTAGTAGCTGGGGTAGTCCATGCTGTTCTAGTAGCTGGGGTAGTCGATGCTGTTCTAGTAGCTGGGGTAGTCGATGCTGTTCTAGTAGCTGGGGTAGTCGATGCTGTTCTAGTAGCTGGGGTAGTCGATGCTGGTCTAGTAGCTGGGGTAGTCGATGCTGGTCTAGTAGCTGGGGTAGTCCATGCTGTTCTATTCTTCGCTGTCACTGTAGGGCTGATGTTCGGTGAGAATTTAAATTCAATAATTATCTAACATTTTAAGTACATGAGAAAGTGCTGAATTAAAAATCAACTGATCAACCGAGTACTCCAGCTGGCTCACGTCATGTTTTTACTTTGTTTTCTCCCGAAACAAACAAACGTCTCGCAGGTCAAGATAAAGCGACACAAGCCTCAACTAACTAACTTATAGTAATATAAACTAACTAGTATTATAGTAATATAGAAGATGCTGATAATGCTAGACTAAGTCCCACCTATCAATGATCTTCCAGCTGGGGCAAGAAACAGTCCGATTCAAAGGACGGGGCCTATTGAACGGCGTGATACCCCTCATAGGTTAAGGAAAACAACAAAATTAAAAAACAAAATAACCCGTCATTATCTCCATACCACAAACCACAGAGTTAAAATGAAGTTGAAGCTGACTATAGAGACAGCAAGTGGACCCAGTGTTGAGTCGGGTGTAGTGAAGCAGGGAATGACGCACTGAATCTAGCCCCCTACCACACAGTTAGCAGGTCTGTAGTAAATATATCTGGCGTTAAATTTAATTTCACCCTCAAACTCTCATTCTCTCCGAACATAAGTGGTCCTTTTTGGACTCGTTTTAATTTGGGATTGGCATTTCGAAATTCGAAGGTTCTAATTTACTTCAATCATCATATATAATGCATAATTTAGAGAAATTTAGAGCCGTGGTTGCAGTATCATAATCACAGGGTCATTAAACTAAGGTATTTGCTCGGCAGTGGGGAACCAACACGGAGCTGGGCAAGGTGAGAAGTTTCTTACATCCAGGAAATACTACCAAATAAGGTAATGTAACCATAGTAACACTATCAAAGCTGGGCAGGGAAATAGGTTTCTCTCCCTAATCAGTAAATTGGGTGATAAGTTAGCACGTGACGGTGAGTATGTACTCACTAAATACCAATGTTAAATCTGGGGGATGAATGAAACCTTGTAATAATCCATAACGGTCAGAAACTTATTAATATCGACTTATTAAGTTGCTGTTCAGATCGAAGTCGCGATAACAGGCTACCAGCTCAAGATTAGATTATCATTTCAATGATCAAAATCACCTTACTTCTAGTAGGGCACAATACGACATTCTCAAGTTTTGGTAGGGGAATTATCACCTATAATACTCTAGACTTGATTCTAGGGGTCATGAGTCTTCTCGGCCTTGCAGCTGAGTCTCTCTTGACAGGGTCTTGGTGAATATTAGCTAGATTTGAAATCTTTGCAATAATATCTGCATGGCACTTGGCCGTCTTTAACGAAATAAAATTCAGATCTTGACTTAGTAATGTATGTACTAATGGGAAAAGTAACCGGATCGGAAAATTGATTAATGGGAAAAAAGATTTAATTAGTTAAGAACGAGACCAGCTGGTTGTTTTTTATGGTGGTGCATGAAAAAAAATCCGCTGAGGAAGCCAAAATAGTTTGGCTCAAGTTAAAACTGTGAAAATGAACACAATGTCATTTAACAGCAAATTATATCATTATGACCACCATAAATCAACGCTTTTAACAGTCTGAGCATCATTGTTACGGATGACAGATTTTGATCGTGATAAAAATTTCAAACTCAAAGAATTTATTTAACTTACAGGTTGCAGCAGGAATGTTTTTACAGACGACAGTAAGGACTCAGGAACCAGCTACACACGTGTATTTTTACACACGTATAAACAATAATGTTTATAAACAATAAACAAGTTAAACGCTTGCAGAGGGAGTACGTTGAGAGGCGGTATGCTTGTCGGACCGTTAACAAGCAAATAAAATACTCGTCAATATAAACTGACTACTACTAGTACTACTACTACTGCTCCTGACATATTCCAATCGGTAATAAACTACCACGGATAATTTCATAAACTTAAAGAGGTTGTAAGGTGTGGTGGCGTATTCTAGCTTTCTATAATATGTGGTAGTTAGTACTGACCGATGCAGTCCGTACATGGTCAACACCTTCACAGTAAGCTCTTATACTCTTATAGTGCTGATTACTAATACGAGTTACCACCATCATGTAACTATAGCCCATTCTGACATCGGTCATGTCTGATGCATTCAACACCAGCTATTATATTTTATAGTTATACCACAGTAGTGCTGGACGTACACAAGTTTTTAAAAAGTCTAAGTTCATGGCTTGACGTTAAAATTTTACAGAGTATAAAAAATGTTCGTCGTACCAAAAACTAGAACTCTACTGTACCCCACTGACGAAAAGTTGGGAGTTGCAAAGACACATTAACTCATTAAATTGTTTTTTTTTTCGTTATTACCCCCTCAGATGAGTCATAGAAGGGGGTTTATAACCTGATTTTTGTTATTTCCATCGATAAAATAACGCTGAAACCGGGAAAATTAAAGATTGAACACTGGGTAACATTTTTGGAACTTATGCCAATCACACAAGAGAAATTCAATAATCCAGGTCAGACTCACCTTGCATGGTTGATATTAACAGCCAGCACGCTCCTATGCCACAAAATCCTCCCTGTCGACTTCATCCTCTCCTTCTGCCCCGCATTACAGTTCTGAATATAACTGGCAACACTCGCAAACCCTGACTTCTTATTATAAGCAGTGATGGGACCGGATCTGACGCTGCTCTTTCTGGACGGTTTGGTGTAAGAAGGCTGCTCCGTCATGGACACTATGTGATCAGACATAAGGGTCAGAGACGAAGCACTGCTCTCGCACTCTGCATGAGAGAAAGCTTGACTGATATCCTTCCAGAGTGCTGGTTTCTCGTGCTTGTTGGTGTGGTAGTAGTGGTTATCTGATGTTTTACGGTTCTTGGAGGGAGCTCCTGATTTGGGTTCTATTATCCGGGCTCGGGACGAGTTGTGCTCGTTTTTCTTGGAGCACCACGAGTCACTGTGGCTCAGCTCCCCAAGTCGCTGAGGTACTGAAGATTTGCGGATCATGGGTTTTCGGGGAGAGCTGACGGTGAGGTTTGAAGTGGTGGAGATAGAACGCTCTTTTGAGAGCTGTCGGGTCATGTTCATGTGTGGGTTGTTCGTGTTTGATAGTTTTCTGAGAGGCGATTGCGTGTTTGAAAGTCTTCTTTGGGGGAATTGTGTGTTTGAAAGTTTCCTAACTGGAAGCTGTTGAGGTACACTCATCGTGTTGTTAGCATTCGTCTTCACATCCTCAACTTCATCATGTTTGTACATCTTAGCAAACTCCTTGCTGTCAATCTCATGAACTTTTGCGGAGGAACGTACTCATCAAACCCGTAAAATCCCGTACTCGGGAACGTGTTCAAGTTCGCCCGCATGGATATTATCGTGGAGGTTTTCCTGCCTGAATTCAGTTGTTCTGGAGAGACATCTTGGTAAGGCATGTGATCAGCACCAGGTCCGTAGAGAGGGTCCGTGGGAAGGAGGAGGACTGGCATCTGCTCCCCGAGTGTGGCGCCTATATTAGACGGCATGCACCTCCTCTTTATAAACACAGGTACAGTCAGTTGCAAACTCTTATCTCAAACTCTAAGGACTGGGGAGAAAAGATTCAGAAAATCGTTATCAAAATGGAGAAAATAAAGAACTCCACATCGTCTAGTCTTAACAAGATGAAGCACTAGAAAACTTTCAGATAATTACCACAAATGGGCGATAAAATACTGGACGGATATCACGAGTACCGACAGATGAATAAAGGCAAAACAGAAATCTGCGAAATTAACTTAAACGTCTCGAGGTACTCTAATCTTTGTACGGTTATTAGCGACGAGCCTATCTTCACGACACATTTTATTGGCGCAACGACACGATATCGCCTGGTGATCTATATACTGCTGAAAAATAAATTAGGGCTGCTAAATTGGCAAGGTGTGAAGGTATTCACACCATCAAGGATGAACGATTTTTGTCGGCAAACGCAATGAACGCTGAAACGTCAACATACGATACCGTACTAAAAGATACAGCATCGTGGATGTTTATCAATTATAGTAGGCCACGTGACAGTGGTTACCATGGCAACTGGTCGAAGATAGTGGTCACGTGACCGGTAAAGCTGCACGGAGTCCAGCAATCACCGTCAGCTACTCCACTTCAAGCCAGCTACAAATGAGCAACACTTTAATTTATAGCTGTTTTTTTCATTGTGTGTGTTAATGTGACGTTTATCAGTGTGGTAAATAAGGACTTTGGGGACGTTGAGCGTGTGAGGTATCACAGTAATTGAAACGTTAGTATAACCATTATAAACTAAGACAAATACCGGTGAATGTTAATACGGCGACTCACTTCCATTGGAACGGTACAAAATGGTAGAGACAGTAATGTATTTTAACGCATGTAAAGTTACAATGGTTCCAATAGTAATATTACTCACTTTGGGAGTAAAAGTAAAGTTTTAACAATATCTATTTAAGTATAGCTGCATAATATGCGCTCGATAATTTGAGAGATTGCTTATTAGTAATAAGCAATCTCTCAAATTATTGATAATGAAATCAAGTAATAATATTACTTGATATCATTTTCATGTGCATACTGGAGATTTGTTGTGTATCAAAGACAACTGATAAGCGAAAGCGTGACCCACAAGCTTGCCCAAATACAAAACACCTTCTGGTTTGATATTTACCCATTAAAAATAACGAGGAACCTTTGTTTTGCGTAAACTGAACAATGAAAAAAATCACTTGAAAATGATAATAAAGAAGTGAACTTTACTTACGAGCCTTCGTCGGAGGATGAGGAAGATTCCCCGCTCATCAAATGCATCTCCAGCACAGACGTGACAATGGAGTACCCCCGATGGTTATGCTTTCTAATGCAAGGAATTGTTGCAAAAGCACTCAGCGAATCCCAACAAGTTTCGGTTGCGAAAATATCTGCTGAATTTGAAAGAAATTGGAATGCATTTAACCCAGCTAGTCATAGGTTTGCTCCGACACAAAGATAAGATGCCGGATGCGAAAGCTGAAAAAATGACTATGATCTCTGTACTTCTGTA